TGAAGACCTCAGCTAGGGCAGGGGTGGTGAGAAAACCACCAGGACTTAGGGAATGACTGAGTGGAAAGGGAGAGTCAGTTTTGCTTAGGTGCTGCCACCAAATGGGGCAGAGAAAACAAAAGAACAAATGCAAGGGAAGGATGAGCAAAAAAAAAATGAGTTCACTATGGACATGGTGAGTGACACGTAAAATTAGAACCGAAGGTACAGGTGCGTAAGAGGCGTGTAAATAAACAAACACACTAATCTAGGGAGGGTCAGGGTGGAAGTGGCCACAGAAATCATGAAACTAAATCAAGAAAAGTAAGTATTTAGAAAACAAGTGACCAATGGACCAAATCTTGGGAGTGGAAACAGTGACAGACTTTAATTTTGGGGGCTCCAAAATCACTGCAGATGGTGACTGCAGCCATGAAATTAAAAGACGCTTACTCCTTGGAAGGAAAGTTACGACCAACCTAGACAGCATATTAAAAAGCAGAGGCGTTATTTGCCAACAAAGGTCCGTCTAGTCAAAGCTATGGTTTTTCCAGTCCAGCCATGGGACAGCTGGACTATAAAGAAAGCTGAGCATCGAAGAATTGATGCTTTTGAACTGTGGTGTTGGAGAAGACTCTTGAGAGTCCCTTGGACTGCAAGGAGATCCAACTAGTCCATCCTAAAGGAGATCAGTCCTGAGTGTTCATTGGAAGGACTGACGTTGAAGCTGAAACTCCAATACTTTGGTCACCTGATGCGAAGAGCTGACTCATCTGAAAAGACCCTGATGCTGGGAAAGATTTAAGGCAGGAGGAGAAGGGGACGACAGAGGATGAGATGTTTGGATGGCATCACCGACTCAATGGGCATGAGTTTGATGTCCAAGCTCTGGGAATTGGTGATGGACAGGGAGGCCTGGCGTGCTGCAGTCCATGGGATTGCAAAGAGTCGGACACGACCGAGCGACTGAACTGAACTAAGAAACAACAGTTAGAATCCAGACTTGGAATGAGGGACTGGTTCCAAACTGGGAAAGGAGTCAAGGCTGTATACTGTCACCCTGTTTATTTAACTTATATGCAGAATACATCATGCAAAATGCTGGGTTGGATGAAGCACAAGATGAATTCAAGACTGCAGGGAGAGATATTAATAACCTAAGATATGCAGATGATACCACCCTAATGGCAGAAAGTGAAGAGGAACTAAAGAGCCTTGATGAAAGTGAAAGTGAAAGAGGAGAGTGAAAAAGCTGGCTTGAAACTCAGCATTCAAAATACAAAGACCATGGCATATTGTCTCATCAATCCATGGGAAATAGATGGGTAAACAATAGAAACAGTAACAGACTTTATTTTCTTAGGCTCCAAAATCACTGCAGATGGTGACTATAGCCATTAAATTAAAAGGCACTGGCTTCTTGGAAAAAAAGCTATGAAAAACCTTAACACTGTATTAAAAAGCAGAGACATTACTTTGCTGATAAAGGTCCATCTAGTCAAAGCTATGGCTTTTCCAGTAGTCATGTATGGATGTGAGAGTTGGACCATGAAGAAAGCTCAGCACCAAAGTACTGATGCTTTTGAATTGTGGTGTTGGGAGAATCTTGTGGGTCCTTGGACTGAAAGGAGATCCAACCAGTCAATCCTAAAGGAAATCAGGAATTCACTGGAAGGACTGATGTTGAAGTTGAGACTCCAATACTTTGGCCACCTGATGTGAAGAGCTGACTCATTGGAAAAGACCCTGATGCTGGGCAAGATTGAAGGCAGAAGGAGAAGGGGATGACTGAGGATGAGATGGTTGGATGGCATCACTGACTCGATGAAGGTTGAGTTTGAGCAAGCTCCAGGAGTTGGTGATGGACAGGGAAGCCTGGCATGCTGCAGTCCATGAGGTCGCAAAGAATTAGACACGACAGTGACTGAACTCACCTGAACTGATCCCCACTTCATGGATCACAGCCTTATCATGGTGAAGGGACTTGTGTAACTTAATGAAGCTATGAGCCACAATGGGCAGGGCCACAGAAGATGGATGGGTCATAGGGAAGAGTTCTGACAAAGCGTGGTCCACTGGAGGAGGAAATCGCAACCCACCCCAGTATTCTTGCCGCAAGAACCCCATGAACAGCATGAAAAAGCAGAAAGATATGACAATGAAAGATGAGCCCCCCAGCCCTTGTGTGGATCACAACAAATTTTGGAAAATTCTTCAAGAGATGGGAATACCAGACCATCATACCTGCCTGAGAAACCTCTATGTGGGTCAAGAAGCAACAGTTAGAATCGGACATGGAACAATGGACTGGTTCAAAACTTGGAAAGGAGTACATCAAGGTTCTATATTGTCACCCTGCTTATTTAACTCATATGCAGGGTACACCATGCGAAATGCCGGGCTGGATGAATCACAAGCTGCAATCAAGATTGCTGGGAGAAATATCAGTAACCTCAGATATGCATATGATACCACTCTAATGGCAGAAAAATGAAGAGGAACTAAGGAGCCTCTTGATGAGGGTGAAACAGCAGATTGAAAAGCAGGCTTAAAACTCAACATTCAAAAATCTAAGATCATGGCATCCAGTCCCATCACTTCATGGCAAACAGAAGGGGAAAAGTGGAAGTGGTGACATATTTTCTTTCCTAGGCTCCAAAATAACTGCAGACAGTGACTGCAGCCATGAAATTAAAAGATACTTGCTCTTTTGAAGAAAAGTTATGACAAACCTAGATAGCATATTAAAAAGCAAAGACATCACTTTGATGAAAAAGGTCTGTATAATCAAAGTTATGGTTTTGCCAGTAGTCATGTATGGATGTGAGAGTTGGACCATAAAGAAGGACGTGGCTTAATCACTAATTCATGTCCAACTCTTGCAAATCCATGGACTGTAGCCCACCAGGCTCCTCCGTCCATGGAATTTTCCAGGCAAGAATACTGGAGTTGGTTGCCATTTCCTTCCCCACAGGATCTTCTCAAGCAGGGATCAAACTCAGATCTCCTGCAGTGCAGGTGGATTCTTTATTGACTTGAGCTACCAGCTCCCAAGAATTGATGCTTTTGAACTGTGGTGCTGAAGTTGACTCTTCAGAGTCCTTTGGACAACAAGGAGATCAAACCAGTCAATAGTAAAGGAAATCAACCCTGAATATTCTTCACTGTATAGTGAATACTCTTCACTGAAAGTCCTTCACTGGAAGGACTGGGATGCTGAACCTGAAGCTCCGATACTTTGGTCATCTGAGGTGAAGAGCAGACTCATTGGAAAAAGATCCTGATGCTGGGAAAGACTGAAGACAAAAGGAGAAGGGGGTGGCAGAGGATGAGATGGTTAGAGAGCATCACTGACTCAGTGGACATGAATTTGAGCAAACTCTGGGAGACAGTGAAGGACAGAGGAGTCTGGCGTGCTACAGTCCATAGGGTTGCAAAAAGTCATACATGACTCAGTGACTATACAACAACAAAAGCATGAAATATCAAAAATAGGCTCATTTACAGAATCAGAAAGTAGATCAGTGATTACATGGGGCTAGAGTTATGTCTGTTCCATGATACAGCATGGATCGCTAGGAGAGAAGGGATGAAATGAAGTGAATGACAGATGTGGCCAAAAAGGACCATAAGCCGGAGGGGAAGGATGAGCTGGGCAAACAGTCAGAAATTGAGGCTGATCATGCTTGATAGTTTCCATTTTCTTAATGAAATAGAAATGACATCATCATCTGAGAGTATAGAGATGGTGGCTGAAAAGGCGGACTGGGGATGAAGGAGCTGATGAAGGACAAATAAATATCAGCCCTTTAGGTGACATGTACACCTCGCACACAAGGTGTACCAGCACCTGGCGGGTGACCTTGTTGTTAAAGCACTGACTAAGCTGAGTTTAGCTGGGGCGGTGGGGTTGAAGCGGGTGGTGTGGGGCATCCTTGAGAGCAGGGCCATTAGAGAATTGAATCTGCTGGAAAACTTAAGTTAGAATGGCTGACCACTTGACAGAGACAGAAAAGAAAACGAATGGATTAGAGATCAGGGATCCATCAAGTCACAAAACAGGGTTAGTGAGAAGACAAACACAAAAGCCTGAAGGATAAAAAGATTAAGAGTGCCGGCCCAAAATATCTTCAAGTTCCAGGGATGGACATAAAGCCTCCAGAATGTGGCCTTAAGGGTAGAGAGATGAAACAGGGCTGAAGGAAAGTGTTCTGGAAAAACAATAGAGAAAACACAGGTCCTGTTGGCATGCTGAAAGCAGGATCTATTTATAACAGAATGAAATCTGTAATAAAGGGGAACTGGGTAGAGGCAAGGAGATAGACGAGGCAATACTGCTAGTAACAAGGGGATAAAGCCAAGAGATGGATCAGAGCCAGGTGCCTGCCTGCAGTGGAGGTACCAAGGCTCACTCATAGGGCTCATGGGGAAAAGGGAGCAATGATCAGAATGCCTTGCTTCTAATATTCCAATTATGTCCTGGATTGTTTTGGTCTATAATGGGATAAGGATCCTGTATAGTACTTAGTCTGGACTCAAAAAGTTGGTGGGGGGCTTTTCTATAATGAAGACTGAGATGTGGAATATATTTATTCATTCATATAATACATAAAAAATAATTTGGGGCCTTTCTATTGATTCCTAAGGCCTCCAATCTACTCTTACAAAAGCAACGAGCTCCAGAATATTTCTCATCTTAACAATTTCCTACTCTACTACGTAAGATCTGAGGAATTAAGTGCCAGAGTTACTGAGAATCACTTGCTCCAGATCTTTCACAACCATCATCCTCTTCTATTTGATACACTATGGCCATGGGTGGTGTGTGTGTGTGTACAAGTACGTTGATATAATACCTCTGGTTGTTGTTTGAGTTTTTCACTGGTGAGAAAGAAGAGAGGAAGAGTGGCAGGGAGACACAATTACTGTAAAAAACCACCACCCGAAGCATCAGACCTCAAAGCATCAGCAAACACATAACAGAAGCAAGTTACAGAAGCATCCTCCACAGGCCACCTTACTTTGTCATGGACCGTCATACAGCTAGCAGCATCCTTCTGGAGGATTTCAGTTACCCCATTGGAGAGCCTTTCATACTTCAGTTTGGGTTCCTCTTCACTCTCTTCTTCCTGCACGGAAAACAGAGAGGACAGCCCTCAAGGACATATCTGAAAGAGTCAAAGACTCAAAACACATGTTGTAAGGTGGAACCACAGGCGGTTCCCTCAATGACTGTCAACAACCACAGCTACAGCTAAGGGTTAAGATTCTCATGTTTCCTTTTTCCAACTGGCCTATCAACTGCTACAACTTCAAAGGCAGAATAAATCTGGAAGCTGGAAAGAGGACTACATATACCTTCTGTTGACAGTAATCAACTTTAGCATATTGAGAAAATACAAAACCGTCTGTCCCACTATTCAGACAAAAGCCAATAAAAGGTGCATAGGCAAAATACTTGTCAATGTGCCCTCGTGGACATAAAACACAGCAATGAGACAAGAATACATAAAACTTCCAAAAGACACAAATTCTGTATTTCAAGATTGCAAGCATTTTTGTCAGATTTGAGAATATCCGATTTTATTTGGAAAAATTATAAAAATTAAAATGAAAGAAAATCAGGAATTTTATATAAAGCAAAGTACATACTTACTCTTCAGATAAAAATATTTTAATATTAACTTTAAATAACTGAGAAATCATGAATGGATATCATTACTTACTTTATGTTAGAATATACACTGCCGACTCTCATCTGAATAAACCTACTTATGCATTAAAGTGTTCTTAATCTTTTATATATGTTATTACTAACTTTAGATGTTCAATTTCACTGTTGATATAGCCTCATAAGACATCCTTAATCTTCAGAGTTACAAAGTTTGGAATCTAGACTGTCTATAAAGGCCAGGAATTAATAAATCAAGATTAGTTATAAAAATTAAAACAATGATTCAGAAAAATATTAATTTTACTGCATCGATATACAATGAGAAGGAAATATGCATACAGTGACAACTGTGGTAGAATGAAACCGGCCAGAAGAGCAGTCCACAAAAACAGTCTACTCATTACTTCCTTCAAAGATAACTGTGTGGTCCTCACCGTCCAGCTAACATTTGGGTAGTTGGTACACTGATGGTCCCAACCAGAATACCTAGGAATGTTTAATGAAATATAGAGCAATATCAGTCTAAAGCATCAATTAAAGGGCTGCTGAGGCAGTCTGAACTACAAGTATGATTCCAAGGTGGTGGAGAAACCATGGAGAGGCCAGCTGGCATTCTACAGTCATTTTCTTCCTGGAGGCACTTATCAACAGGAGGCTGAGATTCTCTGCCTAGAAAGATGGCCACGCTTGAGAGTGTGGAAAACAGCAACCTTCTGGGCTTTCTTGATGGCTCAGAGAATAAAGCATCTGCCTGCAATGCAGGAGACCTAGGTTCAAGCCCTGGGTCAGGAAGATCCCACTCCAGTATTCTTGCCTTCAGAATTCCATGGATAGAGGAGCCTGGCAGGCTGCAGTCCATGGGGTTGAAAAGAGTCCATGGAATTATAAAGAATCCAGTAGGACTGAGTGACTAACACTTTCACTTTCTGGTACTTGTGGGGGCTGGAGGCCTGATGGGGTAATACCCGGTAGAAGAGAGAGGCAAAGAAGGGAGTTTGTTACACAGCCACTTTTCCCCAAAACACAACTGCTAATTTCCAAAACCACATAAGGTAGGAGATAAAAAAGGCTAAACAGAAAGCCTCAAAAATGCAAACGCGCTGCCTTGACATGTTAGGAAGAAAATTAGATGAGGTCCTGGTGAATACCAAAGCCTCTCATTTGGGACTCCTGGTCTCCAGGACACAAACACAGATAGCTGCCCAAAACTTCTGTCGAGCTTTGCCTCAATTCATTCCCTGAGTGGAGTAAGGTACACAACCCCCAGCCTATCTGTCCAGTAAGGGAAAGGGTGGCTCCTTAGAGAAAGAATACTGTTGGGCTTCAACAATTCTTCACTTACAGTACTAAGAATTCAATTAACAAAAACTACCAGGTGTGCCACAAGACAGGACCAAATAACTAAACATCAAGGAGAAAAAAAGTGTGTTAAACAAAACGAAAACACAGACCCATGGATGACCTAGATACTGGAGTTAGCAGAAAAGGACCTTAATATAATTATTTTAATTATTATAAAGTATGTTTTTTTAAAAAGATGAATGAAACAGATAAAAAGATTTCAACATAAAACTGCAATCTGTAAAAAAAAAATCAAATAATTTTAGAACTGAAAAATATACCTGAAATTAAGAACTCAATATTATAGTTCAACAGAAGATTAGCAAAGCAGAGGACAGGATTAGTAATGGAAAACAGGTCAAAAGATATCCAAAGAGAAGCTCAGGGAAGGAAAATGGATGGAAAATACAAAAAATTATGTGCAATATGTGGGACACAGTGAAAAGGGTCTAACATTTTTCAATATAGTCCCAAGAGGATAAGGAAAATAGAAAAATGGGAGGGAGGAGTGACAGGAAGAATACTTACACAGGAAGCAACTGAGAGTTTTCCAAAACTCATAAGACATCAACCCACAAGATCAAGAAGCTTTGCAAACTGAAGCAACCTAAGTATGAAGAAAATCACACCTAGGCACATCATAGTAAAAAGAAAATTACATAAAAGAAAAATGACTTGTAGACTGTTAAGTACTGGACTTCTTAAAGATTGTAATACTGATCAACAATCACACTGAGACCATGAACTTAGATGGCTACAGAAATCTTTATCCCTGGGGCAAAGACCTACTTCACATGGAAAGGAGCTCATTTGTGGATAAACTGGAAGGATGAGATATATCAACCATTATGCTATAGACTTAACACTAGATATCTCATTTCATCCTGACTTAAAAAAAAAAAAAGATTATGGTGAGTTAAATATCATTATCCCATTTTACAGATTTTTCAGTAAAAACTGATGATCAGAAATTTTAGGTAATTTCATTAAGATACACAGTGGATAGAAAGCAAAGCTAAAATTCAAATTCAGTTATGAATGCTCTAACATCAATGCCTCATTTAATATACTACCCCAAATGCCTATGAAAATTACACTACAAATCACAATAGACACCTCCAAGATTTTTATGCCTACAAAAAACTACAAACTGTGATCAACAGGAAATGTGTAAAATGTATTTATTTAGCAGGTACATTGGTTATAGATAAATGGATATTATTCCAGCATTTACTGACTTAATACAATACTGCTGCTGTTTAGTCACTAGGTCATGGTCTGACTCTTTTGTGACCCCACAGACTGTAGGTCTGCCAGGCTCCTCTGTCCGTGGGCTTTCCTAGGCAAGAATACTAGAGTGGGTTACCATTTCCTTCTCCAGGGGATCTTCCTGACCGAGGGATCAAACCTCTGTCTCCTGCACTGGCAGGTGGATTCTATACCACTGAGCCACTTGGGAAGCCCTAAAACAACAATAAATATGTGCTATTTAATGGAGTTCCGGTGGGTAAACAATACAAAAGTGGCTTCATTGGGTGCCTGAGATTCAAGATCTCTTCTGGGGATGCAGGCAAGGTGTGAGTTGGGCATCTGAAGACTTGACTGGGGTTACAGTAATGATTTCTCAGGTGGCTCACTCAAATGGGTAGCAAGTTGGCGCTGGCTGTTTACAGGAGGCTTCAGTCGCTGGTCTCCTGGACTTCTCCAAAGGACTGCATCAATGTCCTTGGGATATGACAAAGGAGACTTCCCCCAGAGTGAGTGGTAAAAGAGAACGCACAGTGGAAACCCTAACGCTATATACGACCGAGCTTCAGTGGTCACATGCCGTCGCTTCTACAGTACTCCTGGATGTTGATCATGCAGACCGGCCATGATTCAATGGGAGGGGAGGAAATAAAGGCAGGAATAATAAGAGGTGAGAATCACCGGGGGGCATCATGCAGACTAGCTACAAGAGGAGTAATAAAATTTTAAGAGCAATAAACCTAGTTTAATAAAAAAATCAATATTCCATGTCTACTGATGAACTGTCTTAAATTTTCTTCTCCAAGTATACACAAGCTATTAGTTGTTGATTTAGTAAAAGGGTGGTAAAACCAGAGATGGACTACCTACTAACTTTTTAAGAATAACTCCAAGAACTAATAGCCACAGAAGGAAGTAACATGTGCACAGGTCCTTAAAATAAGCCCTACCCTTCTTTAAAAATGTGCTAACAATAATCGCCTCAACCCAATGAGTTGTCACATGTCCAAAAAGGATCTGTTGTTAAAATATCAAATAGCTAATTAACCCAGTCTTTAAAAAATCTAGAAATATAAAAATTACAAAAAGCAACAAATAAACACTTCTACTTATATATCTAATACAAGCAAGAAAGAGAAATCATTACAAAGTTAACACTAAATGTAGCCAAGGCATGATGTGTGCATTCTGAAGTAAATGCGTTAAATACAAATTGAATCCTGAATGTTAGTCTTTATAATAAGATGCCACATGTTGTTCAAGTCTGGACATCAAATGTGCATCCAATGTGAAAAGTTAATTCTAGCCTGTGGACTATTTTGCATAAAAGCACTCAACCACGGACCATTAGATAAAGTTACTGTAAATAAGGTTTGCCTGTCTTATTCATAAGTGGAAACTAAATAATTTCTCTCACATAAGTATACAAAAATAAATACTTTCACAGCACAGCTCACTGAAGCATTCGTGCTAGGCTTCAAAAACCATAAATAAAATGAAAACTCCAATATTAGGCACTTGATGTAGCATTTCACGCTTTTCTGACAGGTATCTTTTATGTTAAGTTAAAAGCGGGCTAAAGGTGAATTTTTTAAGGTGTTTTCTGCTTGCTGTAAACAAAGAAAATGGAAAGTGATTCAAAAACACAATTCGCAGAGGTTATTCTACTGCTGCAGACTATATATCACATTTTAAATAAAAAACATTTTAAAAATCAGGTAGATTTAATATAGAGTTTCACTGTAAAAAAAAATTAAACAGAAAAAAAAGACTTTCATGCAATTTGAACTTCCATAGAAAACAACCCAGTGTTAATAAAAAGCAAATCAATAATTTTTGTTAAATTTTAATAATCTTGCAAGCCTA